ACACTTCATCTGGAAATCAAAGTATGATCTTCAATCTATATCCCCTGCCTCAAGTTCCAACATAAACCAAGTAATCTAGGGTTTAACTCATGTGCGGTAAAGCCGGCTTCCATTTCATGTAGTTGGAGTAGGATGAGCCTATCATATGATATAACAAACTAGGGAGAGGTGAAAGACAAGAACAACAATCTAGTAATATCATGTAAGCATCCACCCGAAAATCAATAGGTAGAAGGTGGAAAGGTCTGAATGTAAGATCACAGACAATCAATTGGTTTGTTGTTTTATGCCATTTCATTCTTTTGTTGCTTTCTTCATTTGCCATAATTCATGAAGACCCAACTCATGATCAGGCCTTTTTATTATAGGTTTGTCCCTTCACCTGCTTCGAAAACTCCCAAAGATGCAAAATCGATAAGTATTTTGAGGGTAAGAGTTTTTCTATTGCTTATGTTCTCCTGGTGTTCCATTTTTCTACTTTCTAAACACTATTTTATAACGCGACGATTGGTTCAGGATCTGGGGGTACAAACATGTGTTATTACTAGTTCCAAAATCCAACAAGACAAGAGCTTTGCAGTAGCTCAAGCACAACAAGACGGCAGCACCGGGAATTTTAAGAAATTTGATTCATGGTATGGGAATTTTCTGGTACCAGTTGTTCCATCACGGGCAGAACTTAACAGATAGCATTCAAATGAATGTTTTCATAAGCAATGTGCATAGCGAGGAAAGTGAGCCTTGGATTAAGCATTTCAGGGTGGATTTTGTCGTGAAGCATACATGTAAAGTTCGACCGCTCCGCCACTGGCCGCCGTCTGAGGACAATTCTGCAACAAGATGACAAGTATGGACCGATTCTCTTCAAATTTTTATATTTTCTTCTCCTTCATGCTATTTAACTATTTGTATGTTCAAGAATCTGGAATACACAAAAAGAAATCGTTTCGAGTATTGACCCTTATCATGAGAACATACCTTAAATAGGTGGTTCAATTTTATTTGATGCGAGAATCTTTGCATTATTAGCAAATGAATTGTATGTATGTCCATACTAAGAATTAATAAAATATTAAAATCTTGATTTAAATTTTATTTGATATGATTTGAAATTTTTGTATACGATTTATTTAGTGAAAAATAAAATAAGAATTAAGTTTAGATATTTAAATGTGTAAATAATTAAATTTAAGTATTGATTTGAACAAAATATTATAAGGATTAATTTGAAGTTTTTGAAAAAGCTTTGGTACTAATTTAGATAACAAAGATTCTTAGATAGTAATTTGAACGATAAAAATCGATTTCAGATACTAATTAGTATATTAACCCAAATACCTCTCCGACCTTCACTTTTAAAAATCTTCTCTTTCCTTCACCACACTTTTGCTTCAGACAATATTTTATTTTATTTTTGGAAAATAATAAAAAACAATATTTTAATCTTCCATTAAAAGAGTTATTTTCTTTCTTTCATTTTTCATTAAATAGAAAAATTTGTTCTTTTGGAGTTCCAATGCAAATCTAAACAGACTTCATTTTTGCCTTGTTTGATTGGTATGGCGGTCATTAGTTGCCGTGGTGATGGGAAAGTAGCAGTTGGGGCGGCGGTGGTATGCGCGGCAGTTGTGTGTGCCGCGGCGGCGCTGGTGGTTCGTCACAGGATGAAGAGTTCCGGGAAGTGGACCTGTTCGGTGGCTGAAGAGTTCAAGGAAAAATGCAGGACCCCGAGTTGGAAGCTTAAACAGGTGGCTGATGCTATGACCGTCGAGATGCACGCCGGGTTAGCATCGGAGGGTGGAAGCAAGCTCAAGATGCTCATAAGCTATGTAGATAATCTCCCCACCGGGTAGAATTTTAACTTCCAATACTTCTGGAAATGCTTTTTTTTTGCTCCAACTTATTCAATCATAGAACGTTGATTGAAATAAGATCATAGTACTAAATTAACATGCTTTATTGATTGACTGACGAACTCTAATTATAAACTCCTTGCAGAAAAGTTTGATCCTTGATCAAAATTTAACTTTGGAGATGAATGTTTTGATTGGATATTTGCGTTATTGATGTGTTGGATTCCACTAATGATGTTTTTTTAACATCCAACTTTTGCTTTCGATTCATGGGATAAATAGCTTTTTTTTTTAATATTTTCTATTTCTTGGTGCTTTCTTTACCGCTTTTGCTAGAAGTTTTCATGATGAAAATGCTCTTCCAATGGTTCATGACTTCATTCTGTGTCTACTATGTTATGATGAGATTCTGTTTTTCTCGAGATTCAGATAGATATTATGGTGGAGCGGGTTATTCGACGCACTGTTGCTTCGACTCTTATTTTTTAAGTACTCATTTTTTAAATAAATGGAAATCTTGGGAAAATTTGAAAAAAATTGTGTTGCCTACATACTCGTATCCGACTCTTACATCCGAGTCTAAGTGACATAGTTTGTGACATATATTCTGATAGCATTTTTCATGTTCAACTTTGCAGTGATGAGAAAGGTGTATTTATGCACTCGATGTTGGTGGCACTAATTTCCGTGTTCTTGTGTACACTTGGGCGGTAAAGAAAGCCGTGTTGTTAACCAGGAATTCGAGGAAGTTTCTATTCCTCCACAATTGATGACTCGTTCTTCAGATGTGAAACCCTTTTCCATCTGGCCTAGCAGTATAAAATCATGCCTCTAATCCATCGTTTTTCTCGACTGCTTTATGCAATGTGGTTTCGGGAATTGTTTGATTATATTGCTTCAGCACTTGCAAAATTTGTTTCTACGGAGAGTGACAGTCTACATGTTTCACCCGGTTGACAAAGGGAGTTGGGGTTCACTTTCTCGTTTCCCGTCAAGCAAACATCGATATCGTCGGAGACTCTTATAAAATGGACAAAGGGCTTCTTGGTCGAAGATGCAGTTAATTCTAATAACCTTGGCTCTAGTTTGACAGCCTTTTATCGTTTCTTGTTAATTCTAATAATCCTGAATGTTTCTTCTTGGCCAGGTTGGAGAAGATGTTGTTGCAGAATTGACCAAAGCCATGGAAAGGGTCGGCCTCGACATGCATGTGGCAGCTTTGGTGAGTCTAATTTTGTTCTGCCATCGATGGATGTGATCCGGTGTGTCTACTTGGATACATGTTCTTGAGTTGATATTCCTAATTCTCCATGGATTATGCAGGTCAATGATACGGTTGGCACATTGGCTGGTGGCAGATACAACAACCCGGATGTTGTTGCTGCCGTTATATTGGGTACAGGCACGAATGCAGCATATGCAGAGCGTGCACATGCAATTCCGAAATGGCATGGTCTTCTACCTAAATCAGGGGAGATGGTAAGTAGTGTTAGCATATATGTTCTCTGCATCTGTTAATGTCTGATGAAATAGATGTTCGATCGACCTCATTATGCTAGACTTCTGTGTTATTCAGTAAATGTACTTGGTGATTCTTATATCTGTCGAGAGTTCTAAAGCCTTTCCTTCGTTTCTGCAGGTTATCAACATGGAGTGGGGTAACTTTCGGTCTTCACACCTTCCACTAACGGAATACGACCAAGAACTCGATGCTGGGAGTCTAAATCCCGGAGAACAGGTCAGTTTCTTCTGTCCCAAGTTTCTAGTTCCAACTTATTGCTTTTCGTATGAGGTAGATGTAACTTTATCAACTACTTTTCTCAGATTTTCGAGAAATTGTTATCTGGTATGTATTTGGGAGAGATTGTACGTAGAGCTTTGTTCAAGATGGCTGAAGAAGGTGAGATTTTCGGTGATACCATCCCACCAAAGTTGAAAATTCCGTTCATACTTCGGTTCGCCTAAATGTTATTTACGCAGTTAAATTTTCACTCATTTTGTAGATCAGACTAGACTGTAACATGTTCCGTATTTTATAGATATGTATCGGATTATGGTACTTGTAGTGTATTCAGTTTCTCATGTAAGACAATTGGTTTTGCGATGTATTGAATATAACAGGGTTTGTTTTTGGGCTGATGAGAGCTTTTAAGAGCTATTAACGTTTATATGTTGAATCTGCAGAACTTCTCACATGTCTGCAACGCATCACGATGCATCTCCGGATGCCAAACTTAAGGATATATTAGAGGTATATAATAAATTTTACATGAGATTAAATGTGATTTTATCTTTTGAATCCACTGCTTTTATAGGTTTTCTTATGTTTATGTTGTGTATTCTTTGATTCATTTCAGGTATCAAATACCTCCCTGAAATTGAGGAAACGTGCGACATTGTTGCCACTCGTGGTGCTCGCTTATCTGCCGCTGGAATCGTAGGCATCCTCAAGAAACTAGGAAGAGACGGTAAAAGATGGTGAAAAGCAGAAGTCAGTGGTAGCTTTAGATGGTGGATTGTATGAGCACTACACTAAATTCAGGACCTGCATGGAGAACACGCTTCAAGAATTGCTTGGAGAAGAAGTCTCCAAGAACATTGTCGTCGAGCACTCCAACGATGGCTCTGGCATTGGGGCAGCCCTATTGGCAGCCTCTCACTCCCAATACATTGAAGCCGGGGAATCCTGAAGATAGTTGAATTTTATAGGTAGGTTAAAGAATCACAACTATTTGTACTTTTGTGTAATCTTTCTCAGACACCGGCATATCCGTAACTCAGCTCCACTATCGGTGTTGAAGGATTATACTCGATGCACCCATGTAACAGCTCTTGTTGCTTGAAATATAAGGTAATAAGATAGGCATATATATGTAAGGTACTGTTTTGAGTTTTTGATCTCTACTCATTGAGAATAAAAAGAAATTTTGTAGGTTATTGTCCCATTCTTTTGCTTAATGTACCCGAAAAGGGTTCCGATCCAATTTGATTCGCTATCAAGACATCGGAGTTTCACAGTAATTGTAGCAGCAAAAACAAATAAAAAGAGCCTACTAATGGCAGCAATCAAATGCAAGAAGCTATCAAAAACAAGTTGAACAACTTAACCATTTTTATAAAACAAACAATCACACTGCATAGTTTCAAGTTTGACATAGTAGTCGAGCATGGTTCATTAATGTAGTATTACTAGAAATTCAACACTTTACCAGGTTTAAGAACCAAGGGTCACATTATTGAGCCTCTCCAAAGCCAAAATCAAAGCTTGGGTACCCAGATTCCCTTCCCCATGAGCCTTAAGCGACAAATAAAGCTGTTGAGCCAGAGCCAAACCGGGCAAAGCAAGTCCCATGCTTTGACATTCCTTTAAACAAATCCCCAAATCCTTTACGAAATGGTTCACGAAGAAGCCCGGTTCGAAATCCCTCTTCAAGATTCTGCTCCCGTACAGATCCAGCGATTTCGAGCCGGCCGCCCCGATGGATATCGCGTCCAAAAATGACGGCACATTGAGCCCTGCTTTGTGTGCGTAGATGATTCCTTCCACTAATCCGACCATCGTCGATGCTATTGTGATTTGATTCGCCAGTTTCGCGAATTGGCCTTTCCCACTCGGCCCCATGTAATTGACTTTTCCCATGAGGGTAAAAAGGGGATTTAATCGGTTCACAACAGCTTCGTCTCCGCCAGCGAATATCGCAAGTGTCCCGTTCTTGGCACCGCGGTCGCCGCCGGAAACAGGCGCGTCAATCGAGGAACAGCTCTTAGATGAAGCGGCGGCGGATATTTCGACGGCGAGAGAAGGCTCCGATGTGGTCATGTCGACGAGTATCCCGCCGGGACGGAGGCCAGAAAGAGCTCCGGTGGTAGGATCGAGCAGGACTTGGCGGACGTCGGAAGGGTAGCCGACGATGGAGAAAACGATATCGGATTGAGCGGCAAGGTCGTGTGGGGATTGAGCTAGGCGTGCGCCCATGTCAACGAGTGGTTGGGCTTTGGAGATGGTTCTGTTAAAGACGGTGAGAGTGTAGCCGGCGTTGATTAGATGAGCACACATAGATCGACCCATCACGCCGGTGCCGATCCATCCGAGCCGAGTAGTAGATGGGTTGATGAGCTCGGCTGAGGTAGCCATGTAACGGAGGAGAAAGGTGAGGTGAGGATAAGACGATGTTTGATATTGGGGATAGTGTCGAGAGAGTGAGCGGAGTAGATACGGTAGTGACCGCATTTTATCCTTATGTGAAGAAAGATGGTAATTTACCAAATTGTTCGGTTCTGCTTTATTCTCAGTATTTTACATGCAAACTTAATTTTCCTTTTAGAAAAATAGTGAAAGTGAAAGTAAAAGTAAAAATAATTTATATTAGTTTTCAGGTAAATTTATAGTAATAATAGTACTCATTTAATATTTATTTAGACAATTATCACTTAGATAATTTATATAAAAATATTATTTATTGATAAATTACATTATATATGTTGTATTTAAAAAAACGCATTTTATATGGTTTATCTTTACGGTAAAAATTTTTGATGGAAAAAGAAAATAGCTTAAATACCGTATTGGTTAAATTAATTCGTGAAATAAGATTATCGTTATAATGACCACCAGAGACGCCATGTCGTCCGTCCGACCGACCTAGACTTGATCATACTGCAATCGACGCGTCTAAAAGGTGACGTCAGGAGAGTAGTACATCTCCCTCATACTCTTCTAGCTCCACCAGTACTTAAATACAAGATTATATCTTTTAGAGTTACAATGTATTTATAATTTATTTTTTTCAAAAAACTAATTTTATTTAAATATATATTTTTCTAAATTACTGAAAAACGAAATGATTAAATGGGCCTCTTACACATTTTGTTAATTAAGAATAAACACGAATTAAATTATCTTATTGATTGAATGGATAATTATTATTTTTTTAAAAATTTAAATTTGAGGATCAAAATTACAAAAATGTTTAAATTTTTATTATCAAATGATTGAATTTTTTTAAAATAATTAATATTCTTAATCATTTTATATTAATAAAAGAAATATTACATAAAATAAAAATGTGTTTAATTTAAGACATTTTTCGGAAACCACGATTAATAGTGTGTGTGTTTTTTTATCGTGACGATAAAAGTAAAAAATATTTTTATTAAATGATCTTAGAATAATAATATTTTGGTAAATAATTTTAAACGTTCGATATATATATGCGTAATACAGCCGCTTCTTAGAAGAAAAAGGAACGGGAGTATGAATGATGGTCAATCAGCTTTGATTGCTCAAATCCATAATTACAAAAGTTACGCGCTCATTTACTCTTACCGTCTTCTTTCTCCGTTTCTCTTACTCTTTCCCTTTCTCATGCGTTCTGCCGACGCACGCCAGAGAGAAAGAAAGAGATAACAGCTTGGAAGGAGCTTAGTTCTAGGGATATATATATATATATATATATATATATATATATATATATATATATATATATATATTGAGATTTTCTTGTGTGGTTGATTTTCTGTTTGGCTAGTTAGATAGATGAAGGTTGACAGAGGGAAGAGGACAAGAAAATACAGTAGAAATGTCGACGGCATTGGACCCTGTCGATTGGCTTCTCTTCTCTCTCAGCAGGGCTTTGTTTAGTCCCCTCGCTGTTTTAATTCAGATCCAGGTTTTGTTCGATTCCGCGTTAAACTAAGTCTGTTGTTTGTATAATTTTCGCATTTTCTCTGTTTGGATAGTTTTATCGTGTTAATTTATTACCTTTTTTTAATGGATGTTTGGTTAGTCTCTTATCTTTGTATATTCTCTACAATCAGCTTAATATTTCAATGTAATCTTTAAGATTTAGATTACAACTTGAAAAAAATGATTTCCTTTTACAGCAAAGGCGCTGGGTTTTCATTAGTATTGGACCTCGATTGTGATGTTTGGAACTAAAAGCTAAATCGAATTGTTTTTTCTTCTTTGATTCACCCAAAAAAAAGGAAAAGAAGAATACTGTCTGCGACATTATTGAAATGAAGTGTTTGAAAATTGGTCAGAGTGGTGCTGTTATTAAGATATTTAGCAATGTATCTTGCAGATTATGTAATTTGCAGGTATTGAGGCAGTAATCGGTTTTAATTAGGTCTGAGTTGAGCTTGGTTTGTTAGATAGGCTTATAGCATTAGAATCAAATGTAGTAGGAAGCTCCTTTTTCCGTATATGTTTTTCTATATCACGGGAGCTTTGTTTTAGTTTAATTGTTTATGTTGTATGAGGGAAGGATGGCATGTCAGTTAATGTAACTAGGGTCGTTTCATTGGAGGACATAAGTGACCTTTTAACCAATAGTTTATCTTAAAGAACAGCTATTGAGACATCCTTGCTTTTATAAATTACCAATCACAACTTTTGTGGGAAATATATTCTATACTAATTTGTGTTATCTGTTCTGCTGGCTGATATACTTCTTCTTTTGATTAAAACCTTCCTTTTATCATTTCACGATCATTCTAATTATCTACTTTATGAAACAGGATTTTCACTTTGATTGTTTTAGATCAGTTACCTCCTTTCCCTCTTAATCTGCCCGTTTAAACTTTAAAAAAAGGGTTAACAATTTGAATGCCTTGTATATGATGTAAGGATGTGTAATATGCTTGACTCTTGCTATTGGGTGGGCTTTTGCTTCTTATGTCAGGTACACGGTTTTAAGAGAATTTAAAATGCAGCCTGCTTGCTGACATGGCCATTCTATGTTGCCCTACCCCTATGACCTAGAAACTTGCCTATTTCATTTATATATACCTATATATTTTGCACTTCGCAGGAACAGAGAGATCAATAGAATGAAGATTGCCATGAAAGGTGGCAATAGCTTTGCACTTTTGTGCCATGATATTAATGAACTTGAGTACTCTAATCAGGTCAATCTTCCAAGAGTTACAGTTGTGATGCCTTTAAAAGGTTTTGGAGAACATAATTTACACAATTGGAGGAGTCAGGTGAGTACTTTATGGTCTAGGTAGCACTCGGCTTCAGGTGTCTTCTTAGTGCATGCTACAGAAGAGTGCATTTACTTGAAAATGGAAAACTGAACTAAACTCCCTTCTTTCATCTTCTTCTTCATATTGCTCTGCCAAAATTGATTATTTTAAAATATTTGTTTAATATCAATGGAGGCAGATCACATCTCTCTATGGTGGCCCTCTAGAGTTCCTTTTTGTGGTGGAAAGTACTGAAGATCCTGCTTACCATGCCGTGTCTCGATTATTAAGAGATTTCAAGGTATACCGCAAATTTGCTTTATTATGCATTTTCAGTTAATATTGTCAGAAAAGTCAAATAGGATTGTTATCAACGTATAATCCTTTATTCCCCCTTCACTGAACCTTTAATGCTTGCCCTTTATTTCATGCATGTGTTAGAGGGCATCATTTGAGTGTCTTCACTGTGGCTTTACTTCTTGCCTTCCTGATTTCATTGCATGTTCTGTAAAGGATGATGTTGATGCTAAAGTCATTGTGGCTGGTTTATCAACAACCTGTAGTCAGACCTGTAGTCAGAAAATACATAATCAGCTGGTATGTAACAAATTTACTAAATTGTTAAACAGATTTTGTTTGATCTCGCCTTTTACTTTCGTCTTGATATTATGTTTAAACTATGCTTCAGTCTCGCTCATACTCAGTGAAGAATTAAGTTAAAGCCTTAGCTGAAGAATTCCTCCTCTTTTGCTAATCCACAATTATTAAATGTTAATCCTTGATGTTGTTAATATCTCTTGGCTAGAAGTGTATTCAATATATCATATCATTTGGTATCTCTTGTGAAGGTTGGGGGTGGAAAAAATGCATAAAGATGCCAAGTATGTATTATTTTTGGATGATGATGTTAGGCTCCACCCTGGATCAATTGGAGCCCTCACTGCTGAGATGGAAAAGAGACCTGAGGTATGTTTGTGCACATCAATATACATTAAATCAAAATTGTTTGTTCTTTCTGAACTGTTAATTTCTTTTTGTGATACTCATATTATTGGATGTAGTGCACAGATATTTATTCAAACTAGATACCCTCTTGATTTACCGTCTGGAAGTTTAGGGAGTTACTGCTTCTATGAATACCATATGGTATGATACCTTATATGACTTATTTTTTCTTCCCAAGATACTTCATATACCTGTCCATATATTATTATATTGTTTTTGGATAACTTGCTTTTTATCTATACAAGTGAGCAGTGAAAAACCTGCCATCAAAACAACATTACAACCAGAAACAAAGCCATTAGTGATTACCGCCTAAGTCAATGGTCCAATTATTTCATAAAATATGAATTTAATGGGGAATTCAGACACTCTAGTAACTCATTTGTGTATGGCTTGCTGTTTTGTTCATGTCCTACTATCCAATCTACCAGTAAACCTATAGATATGTTGCACCTTTGATTGCTACAGATGCATATGCTAGCTGCTGATTAAATACACATATACACTCATCAACAAGCAAGCATTTCCTATTCAAACAAAGCAGCAACAAGGTAGGAAATAATTGTCTGTCATGTGTTAACTTATAACATAGCCCAAAGTTTAAACAATAATAGAGCACTATAGATTGAAATAAATCTTTTTCTACTGTTTGAATTTGCCCAAGAGGTGCGGTGTAACTGAAAGCTCTTGCTTATTTAACTGTTCTCATGCGGTTGATATTGGTTCTTTTACTTTGATCTCTCTCCAATAAATTAGTTATTGTATCCTTTAACTCATGTACTCCTACTCATCCAATATTTCTTTTCTACAGCCTTGCTCAATGGGGTTTGCCACTGGTGGGAAAACATTTTTCCTTTGGGGAGGGTGTATGATGGTAAGTAGCCCCCCTCCCCCCCAATTGATCTCAGTGCATCCTGTAAAAAATTGAAGGATTATTTCTGATTCTTCTAGATTGTTTTTCAGATGCACGCTGATGATTTTAGACATGACAATTATGGTGTGGTCCCAGGACTTCGAGATGGTGGATACTCTGATGATATGACACTAGCTGCTATAGCTGGTAATCTAGTCTATATTAAATGTTTTAGTATACTAATATTTATGTTGACATTAGAATTACAGCTTTGTATACTCATAGACTTGCAGCCCTTTAACTGATAATCTCTTCTCAGGAGCCAACAAAAGGCTTATTACATCTCCTCCTGTAGCTGTTTTTACCCATCCTCTTGCAAGTGATCTTAGTTTCTCTGGGTTTGTGATTTTTGCACGTTAAGCCTTT